CATCCCCTCCCCGAATCCCGGGATTCACCTGCGGGCTGCTGCTGGAAGCCTGGCTGCTGTTGCACTTCTCCAGCTCTCGCTGCACCTTCAGCGCCAGCMCCTGCAGCCTGTCCTTGTCCTTGAGGGTGGCGTTGAGGGCGCGGCTCAGGTTGGCGTTGGTGGCGCTCAGGGTGACAATCCTGCGGTAGTGGCTCTGCACCTGCTCCTCCAGCAGCCTCAGGTGGGTGTCGGTGCCGCCCTGGGCGTTCCCGTACACCATGAAGAGGACGAGCCCCAGGATGATCAGGAATTGGATCAGCGAGGTGAAGAGGAAAATGTATTTGACATAAAAGCCGCAATCCCGCCTGGGAATGGCCTCCCTGGGCTCCAACCCGAATTTGGCCATGGCGAAGCTGCTCTTCTCCATCCTCGCCGCGGCTCTGCCCGCCCCGCCCCGCCGGGACCCCGCTTTTAGGGGGCTGTGGGGGGCGGAGCAGCCCCCGGCGCTGTGTTTATAAGGCAGGATTTAATATTTCCTCCTGCCGGGCTCCTTCCTGCCGTGCCGGATGCTCCCGAGGACCCGCTGGGTTATCAGGGCGCAGCTTCTGCTGGCGCAGGGACTGTTGTTCCTGGAGTGGAGAGGGGACAAAAGCTGGGATCCTATTCCTTCACCCCATTTCCTTCACCCTGGAATTGTCTCCCGCCCCAAAATTCCCAGACCGGCACAGGAATTCTAGGGATGATTCCCCTGGAAAGGCAGGGTGGGTTTCGGTGGGGTGATGGAAGGGACTCCACTGGCACCCCGATGGTGGCACGGGATGGCACACGGGGATGGGGAAGGGTGGCACTGAGTGACGTGGGGACGAAGACACCGTGGGAAGGCAGGGAGGCAGGGGGAGAAGGTCAGGAGATGCTCCGCCGTGGCTTCCCAGCATCCTTGGATCCACTTTGAAGCAGTTTTCCAGGAAAGCTGGATTTTCCTGTGGCCGTATCCTGTGCAAAGGGCAGCGAGGCATCCGGRCGCCCCCCGCCCCCCTTGGGGGGATCTCCCCGTGACCCCACTGACCCCACCCGGAGGGGACAAGGAAGGGACTGGCGGTGACATCCGAGCTCAGAGAGTCCCGATGAGGCACTTCCAGCGGGAACGAGGCTCCCTGGGATGGGAGGCAGGACCACCCCATTCCCCCACCCCAAATCCAGGTGGGCCCAGAGTGGCCCCTCCATCCCGCAAAGGTTTGGGATGGGGCGGAGGACTGGGAACAGCATTCCCACAGTCCAACCCTGGGCTCGGGGAGAGTTCATTATAGCGGGGGGCTAATTGGGGGGGGTCTTTTGGGAATGGGACAGAGCGGTGGCAGGAACGTTGGGATTCCTGGTGACCCAGAGGCTGCGAGGAGCCCTTGGGGTGGGATCCAGGATGGAGCATCTCAGCGGATACAGCAGCGGTGCGTGGGGACCCGGCGGGGCCGGGGTCAGGGGTCCGGCAGTGGCCGGGAGGGCCGGGGTCAGGGGTCCGGCRGTGGCCGGGAGGGCCGGGGTCAGGGGTCCGGCAGTGGCCGGGRGGGCCGGGGGTGACTCACTGTTATTTGCGGCTCAGGAAAAGGAAACGGCGGTAGCTGAGAACGGCTCCGGCAGCGACACCGGCCCGGCCATCGCAGACACTTCCCGGTCCCCAGGGGACGCGGCGCAGCCAGGGCAGGAAACAGCCACCGGCGAGGGGTCAGCGCCCGGCGGGGCCCGGCCCCCCGAACCCCCCCGGGCATCCTCCGGGGCTGGGGGACGGGCACTGCCGGGATGGGGACAAGGTGACAATGGCCGTGGGCAGCGCCTGGACACCCCCAGACACCCCGTTTGAGGTGGCACTGAGGGGTGAAGGGGTGGTGTCCCCTCCTTTCAGCCGTCACACCCCAAATGCCACCTTTCCCCCGCGCTGAGCCCCCTCCATGTCCCCAGGCTGTCCCCAAGCCAAGCCTCACCCCAGGGTCCTGCAAGGACCGGGATCGGGATGGGGACACGGCTGCCACCCCCGGCTCTGCCCATCCCGGCTGGGCTGAGCCACCGTGACTGCGATGTCCCCGTGTGGGGACAGACACCAGGAGTGKTCCCACAACAGGGAGTGGTGGCTCTGTGTCCCCCCAAACCCCCTCGGGGTGTGTTGGGGTCCCTGGCAGCCGCTGGGATCCAGGGTGGGATAGCCCGGAGAAATCCCTGGAGTTTGGGGGACATTTGGGCCTGGGGAGGGGACCGTTKGGTTCAGAGGAACAGCAGACAGGAGGCTGGTGGCACAGGGAGATGTCCTGGTGTCTGCAGCCTTTATTGCCCAAAAATCTCCCCAGTCTGCCAAAATTCCCAGTGTTCCCAGTTTCTGGAGCGTGGGTGTGGGTGTGGTGGCAACTCCCGGAGCAGATTCAGGAGCTCCGGTGGGAAAACCGCCCGGAATGAGCTGAAACTGCCCGAAAACTGGAGAAGTGACCCCTGTGTCCTGTGTCCCGCTGTGGAATGGGATGGGAGCACAGCGGGATTGGGACACGTGATGGCATCAGAATGGGATTGGGACACTGGGATCAGGGGTCACAGTGGGATCAGGGGTCACAGTGGGATCAGGACACGTCTCCCACCCTCATCGCTCCCGGGACGCGCTGGCAGCTCTGGGGCTGGGGACACCGCAGAATGGGAATGTCGCGCTCAGTGGGGCGGGSCCGGGGGGCTGCGGGGCCTCAGCCCTTCCTGTAAAGGGGGGACGGGGAACAGAGAGTGAGTCCCCGCACGGGGTCCTGYTGCCCTGGGGACACCGGTGACAATGGCACTGAAGCTCCCATCCCTTGCTGTGCCACGTTCCCGGGATGTTTTCTCTTCCCAGGATGTCCCCCTTTCCCAGAATGTCCCCATCCCTGGGCTGTCCCCCCTTCCCGCGCTGTCCCCCCTTCTCGGACTGTCCCCTTACTCGTGACATCCCCCCTCTCCGGGCTGTCCCCATCCCAGGGATGTCCCCCCTCCCTGGAATGTCCCTTCTCCCCAGGATGTCCCCCTCGCGCTATCCCCCCTCCCCGGGATGTTCCCCCTCCTCGGGGTGTCCCCAAAAGTACCGGGCAGGGGGACACCTGCGCCCGCTGGCTCTGTCCCTCCCCCGCCGCCGCAGCGCCTCCACCTCGGCCGCGCAGTCTCGGCTGTGGGGACAGCGGAGCCACGTGTGGGGGTGTCCCTGTCCCGGGGAGGGCACAGGGGGTCCCCAAGGGAGGGAGGGACAGGGAGGGGGAGGAGGGGACTGAAGGGACACACGGGGGATTCTCTGGGGAAGGAGGGACAGGGCAGGATGTCACAGGGACTGAGGGGACAGGGACCTTGCAGGGGTGTTCTGGGGGACAGGGTCCTTACAGGGTGTCTTGGAGCTCCCTGTGCCGCGCCTCGCAGCGCTCCCGGCGCTCCCGCAGCTCCCGCTGCTGTTCCAGCGCCTCCTGCAGCCGCCGCCGCAGCCCCCGCGCCTGCTCCGCGCCCCGCGCCACCTCCTCTGGGGACAGCGGCGACAGCGGGGTCACCCCGGACCGAGCACACCCCGGGCATCGCCTGCGGCTGGGCTCCCGGGGACGTGTGCCCCGCGCAGGGGACAGACCTCACCTTGCAGCGCCACTTTGTCACCCGCCAGCGCAGCCCGCTCGCGCCGCAGCGCCACCAGCTCGTCCCCCAGCGCGGTGACATTGGCCTCCAGCCTGGTCTGGGGAGAGGGGACGCGTGGGGACAGCGGTGGCAGCGTCTCCCCGACTCTTCATCTGCTGTCGGAGCCCTTCTCTTCTGCCCCACTGTCCCCAAGCTGTCCCCACACTCCTGATGGGCTTAGCTCCCCCTGTCATCTTCCTCAAAGGGCTGGGGACATGGATTTTGTGATTTTGGGGACAATCCCTCTCCCCTGAAGGGACGTTCATCCTGGGGGAGATGTGAGCTGTCACAGGAGGCCGAGGTCACCCGGGTGCCCCGCGGGTGACATCCCTGGTGCCAGGGCGGGAACGGGGCTCTCCGAGAGCCTGCCCAGCCCTGCCCGGCTCCCGGCGCCAGCCCCGGGAAGCGGGAGCATTTTCCAGCCGCTCTGGGCCATTGTTCAGCCGGATGAATCCAAGAGGGGCGGCGGGACCCGGCTCTTCCTCCGGGCTGCGGCCGCGGCGCTGGGGCCGGGCCCTTTCCCAGCTGGAACCGCGGCTAAAAATACTCGGGAAGAAGAAACCTGGGAGCTGCAGCCCCCGCTGCTGCCTCGGGACGGGGTAATTACAGGGATGGAGCCACAGCCGRGAATAGCTGCCCCCGCCGCGCGTGGGATGGGCAGGACGGGGCCGGGAGCATCCAGGGCCCGCTTTTTGGGGTGTCCCRTGCAGGGATGTGGTGGCTGTGCCCCCCAGGTTGTCTCTTCCCCTTTCCCAAATCACGCCAACTGGAATTCCCCCAGGGATGGAGCAGCCCCTGGTCTTGGCCGCTGAACAGGGAGGGAGGGAGGGACAGGGGACAGTGGTGAGGGAACAGAGCCCCATTTTCCATCCCGACATCCCAAAGCGGCCAAAGAGCGCTTTGTCCCCATCGCTCCGTCACCTTCGGGGGCTGGGGAGGGGCTGATCCCATTTTCCATCCCCGAGTGGCCAAGCACCTCCTCGTCCCCGTCCCTCCGGCCACCTACCGCCCGCTCGCGGCAGGACACGAGGCTGGCGTTGTCGCTGCTGCTGTCGCCGCGGGCCCGTGCCAGCTCCCGGCGCAGGGCGTCCCCGTCCCGCCGCAGCCGCTCCCGCTGCCGCTCCAGCTCCTCCAGGCGATTCCCGAGCTCCCGGCTCTCGTTGGCCGCCCGCTCCCGGCAGCCCCGCAGCTTCCCCAGGGCCTCGGAGCGCCACACCATCACCGCCACCGCCACCGTCACCGCSGCCACCAGCGCCAGCAGCGCCGCGCACAGCCCCAGCACCTTCAGGGTGGCCCTGGGCACCGCGGGGTCCATGTCGGGAGGGACACGCGGGGACAGCCGGAGCCGCTCCGGCGGTGGCCGTGCCGCGATGTGCCCGTGTCGCCGCTGCTGACGCCGTAATTGTCGCGTGTGGGTTTTTGCCACCGGACACCGGTTTGGGTTGCGGTTTGTCACAGGTCACGGCCCAGAATAGGTTTTGTTTGTGCTGGAGAGGGGACAGAGCTGTGTCCCAGCCGCGGGGACAAGCCGGGGTGGCTTTGGTGGCCGGGGGGATGCTGAGGTTTCCTTCTCACCCACGGAGCTCTGTGTCCTCAAGMGATGCTGGGTTTCCCCAGGTGTTATTGGAAATTTGTCAAAAAGTGCGAAATTGTGGAGTAGCTCGGTTCGAGGCAGCTTTGTCATGTCCCTGTCCCCTGCAGCCCCTGGCCCTGTCTCCTCCCTGCCCCTGGGCACGGTCCGTGGTGGAATTGTCACAGTGGAGCTGTTGGTCCGGGGAAAGCGGGATGGGGCGGGGAAGGGGCTCCACCCCAAACATGGGGACACCTCAATCCCATGTGCCGCGGTTGGGGGGCGCGTGGGGCACCCCATGGAGCTGCCGGTGGGGTGGGAGGGGTTGGGGGAGTAAAAGGGGGGGTTGGGATTGCGGAATTTGGGGTGTAGGGTACTCGGGGTATGGAGAATTAGGGCAGTGGGGTAACTCAAAGCCTAACCCTAATGTGGTTTGGGGTACCTGGGGTATGGGGGATTTAGGGTATGGGGCACTTTGACTATGGGGTGCCGAGAGAGTGGGGGGTCTGGAGTTCAGGGAACACGGAGTACCTGGGACAGGGGGATTAAGGTCTGGGGGATCAGAAATATGGATATTTAGGATATGGGGTACCTAGACTATGGGGATTAGGAATACTCAGGCGGTGCCTGGGCTATAACAGCCGGAATTTGGGGATTCTGCGTTCAGGGGTGTTGGCAACAGCAGGGTCACCCAGCCCGGGGGACCCTCGAGCAGCAGAGCACGGAGCCCTGGCCCCAGGGATGCTCCGATCCAGCAGCCACCGCCTCACCTTCCTCCCTCCCCATCCCAAAAATAGCTGCTCCACTTTTAGGACTTTTTCTCCTCCATGT